AGAGAAGCACTGTTGTCCACTTCAGGCGGCGCCTCCGGGGCGGAATATGATATGACGTCACTTCCGGGAGGCGTCCCAAGCCCCGCCCTGTCTTCGACTTCGTTGGGATCTGGGCCGGCGGGCCCGGCATGGGGGGGGGAGCCCAGCCATAGGCGCTCCCCGGGCCGTGTCCAGGCGGTGGAGGTTAGAGGATCTCGGGCGCCGGGGAGCGTCGGAGCTGCAAGTGTCGCCTCTCCTGAGCCTGAGATCTGCACCCCGCGAAGACGCGGACTGTTCCCTCATAGGGCGGAGCTGCACCTGGGTTTCCCCACTTTGCTCCCGCCGCCCACCGGGTCGCTCTGAGCCTGATTTTCCAGTGGGAGCTGGAGAGGCTCGTCCTCCCGGAGTGTCTCCACGCCGGGACAGAAGCGAAGACCCTCCATGAGCACGCTTTCTCAGCGCTTGGGTGGCGCTCACGTCCTTGAGACCTCTCCCCAGCCCTGCGGCCTTGCGCGGGACAGGGCAGAGGAGCGCCTTCCCACAGGTCGTGAGAAGGCTGAGGTTTCAGACTTCTATGTAGTCCTTTCGGGGAGGCCATCAGGCGGAACCGAGGCTGGGAATCAATAGCTCATGTATCTGGACTTCTTGGGGAAATCACCCACAGGCACGTGATAAGTTAAAAATCTTATTTCAGCATCTTTCCAAGCCCTGGCAGTTCATTTCCTACCTTTCTCGACAATAGCGTTGCATACGTGAAGTTGGGCAGGCCGACCTGTTATGCCTAGTCCTGTCATTTCTTTGGTCTGTAATTATTGCAGTTTCTTAGGAGTTTATTTAACAATTTAATAATCCATTTCTTTGTATTCTTATGAAATTACTCTCATACAAGGTATACTGCTATTCCTTTTGATAACAGACAACTGAGTATAAATTATAAAAACGTATGTGTCGGGACCAGCATTTAGCATAATGGCTATGTGGCTGGACTAGCATGTAGTCGACCACAGTTTGAGTCCTGGACCCAGTGGCTTGAACTCAGGCCGGGCGCTTGTGCGTGTGTGCCCAAGATAGGGAGAGGAGAATGGAGAAGGGATTGTGATGCCATCCCCCCTGGAGGGGGTGATTTCTCGCTTTCTGTCTGTCTGTCTCTTTCTGGTGAGTGCACGCACCCTGTAGCAAAAACCTCTCCAAATAAATAAATAAATTTTAAAAGTGTGTGTGTCCTCAGTTTTGAAAAGCTAATATTCATTGGGCTTTATTTGATTAATTTGATCAAGTTTATTTTTTCAAATCCTTTTGATCCTGGGTTTTATAAAGTGTTACAGTAAGAGCAATAGCACCTAAGTTTGGGTTCAACCTCACTTAAAGACTTACAGTAGTAAGTCTCTAGAGTTTTACTAATTAAATCAAATGTTGATATGAATAATTTTCCTCCTTCTCATCCCTTCTGTCCTTCCCTCCCTGTAGGGTGTATAGTAAATACTGAGGACATAACAGTGGTATAAAACTTAAAGAGAGTCTGTACCGCTCTTTCCTAACAGCTCCTTTATATAGATGAAATCGGGTTAAAGTAAATATTACTGAAATCTTTCACAAAGAAATAAAGTGAGAAAAAAGGATAACATATGAGAATTCTTAGAGATAACTGGGATTAAAGAAAGGACTTTGAGATATTTTCATCCCAAGTAAAATAATAGAGTGCCACAAAATTTAAGAACATTTTGTTTTCTTTCGTATCACGCAGTAATCATTAGACTAAAGGCTAATCTTTCAATATGTTTTATTTTTAGATAGTGAATTCCTTTGAAGAAAAGAATGGATTGCCTATTAGCTGCTCTCTAAGTATTTGGACTCCACGGTGTGCATGTTTGTTGCAAAGGCCGAAAGAAGATGGCAACTCCTTATGTCCCAGTTCCCATGCCCTTAGGAAACTCTTCTTCCAGCTTTACAACCAACAGAAATCAAAGACGTTCTTCTTTTAGTAGCATCTCAACAAGCTCAAACTCCTCCAAAGGCCAATTAGAAGACTCAACTATGGGTAATTGTAAACAGACAGGTGTTCCAGAGCACACGGATAGCACCTCTGTCTGTAGCAGTCCCCTCATTAGGACTAAATTCACAGGTGCTGATTCTTCCATTGAGTATTCTACTCGACCAAGAGAAACTGAAGAACAAAACCCCGACACCGTGAATTGGGAAGATAGACCATCTACACCTACCATACTCGGTTACGAGGTGATGGAAGAAAGAGCTAAATTTACAGTAAGTATTGACTTCTGCTGTATACCAGTAGAAAGTGAAAGACTGGTTAACCTGTGCATTTAAAAACCAGTGATAAATTCATTAATATAAACCTATCCTTATAATTTCTCGAACATTAAATTCTAATGACTTTTTATGCCACTGAGTTCTGTCATGCTATGACAAACTTTTGGTTTACCTTAATGAATTTCCAAACCAGACACAACCATTGGTTCATCTGAAAAGCCAAGATGCATTTTTGCATAGAAGAACATAGAAAAGAAAGTCATGACTTTTCCAAAGACCCAATACGTAACTAGTACATAGATCAAGAAAGGAACATTACTCTCATCCTGTGCTCTCTGCCAGACAGTTTCTCAATAGCCTAGGTTAATGTATCTACTTCTGTACCTTTACGTAAATGGGATTATTGAGTATTGTACTTTTGGGGGTCTCATCTTTTTACTTCATCATTATGGTTATAATATTTATCTTTGATCATGAATGGATTATAAGTAGCTCATTTTTATTACTGATAGTATTCCTTTATGTGACTATACTGCAATTTGTTAATCCATACTACCAATGAAGAGCATTTGAATAATTTCTCTTCTGAGTTCTTATAAATACTATTGCTGAAAAAACTTTAGTACTTGTCACTTGGTCAGCACATATATTCACTTGATACCTACCTAGGAGGAAAATTGCTGAATCTTAAGCCCAGCTTTAAAAGATACTGATAAACAATGTTTCAGAGTGGTTGAACCTATTTGCTATAAGCAGTGTATGAGAGTTCTGATTGCTCCACATCTCCTAACACATGGTATTTTCCCATCTTTTTCATTTTAACTAGTATAGCGGGTATTATGGTTTTAATTTTTTGGGGGGAGGGGGAGGTTTTTTCTATAGGGCATGTGTGCGTTCGCTGGAAAGACAGAAAGAGAGGGAGACAGAAAGCGATAAATCACCCCCCGGGAGGATGGCCACACTGCAATTCCCTCTCCATTCTTCTCTGGGGATCTTGGGCACACACACACACGCATGCCATTGAGTGAGTTTAAGCTGCCAGATCTGAGGACTGTTAATGGTCAACTACTTGGGAGTCCAGCGATGTAACCATTACACCATCTGTTGGTCCCTTAATTTCATTTTTCTTAATAGCTAACTAAATTAAAGAATTTTAAAAACTTTTTTAGCCATTTGAATGTTTTCTTGTGAAATGTCTTTCGAAGCTTTTTTTCTTTTGTCTTTTGGGAAGTCTTCTCTATTTTGAGATAGCTTTCTGTGCATTCTGACGTAAGTCTTTATTCAGATAGCTGTATTGTGACTTATCTCACTCTGTGGCTTGCCTTTACACTTCCTTAATGATACATTTGATAAACAAAAGTTGCTCATTTTAATATAGCCCAACTTGTTAACTTCTTCATTTTATGACCAGCACTTTTAGAAAATCTTTTCCTACTCCAGGACCATAAAGATATTGTCTGATATTCTCTTCTAAAAGCTTTATAATTTGTCCTTTCACATTTAAATATGTACACCATCTGGAACGGATTTTTTTCCATGGTGTGAGTTAAGAGCTAAGTCATGTTTCTTTTCCATGTGGGATCAGTTAATCAGGCTTTTATTGAAAAGACCACTATTTTCTGTATTCACAGTTGCCTGTTTCATAAATCATGTAACCATAAATGTGTAGGCCTGCTTCTGTATTCCACTCTTCCATCATTTACCAATTCCATACTACTTTACTTATTAACAAGTAAAACTTTATAATAGATCTTGATGTCTAGTATAGTTGGCCCTCCCTGTTCTCTGGTTCCGAATCTATAGATTGAACTCCTTAGGTGGGAAATGTTACATTATTGCTGACATGTACTATGTATATATTAGGCTGAGAGTAGTTGCTTCTGTACTGAACATGTGCAGACTTGTTTTCCTGCCATTATTTCCTA